GGTATGTCGCGTAATAGATGAACTTCGGCCGGAAATAGGTGTACTTCTTGGCCTTGGCCAGAAAGCCCATATTGACCCCGATGTTGAACTCCTTGAGCGCGTCGTTGATGAAGCCGGCATGGCGGCTTTCGTCACGGCTCATATGGCCGAACAGCTCGCAGATTTCCTTGTTCGTGCCGCGCCGCTTCATCTCCTTGTAGAGCACGCAGCCGGAAAACTCGGCGGTCAGCGAGGAGACGAGGAAGTCGATGAACTCCTTGCGCAGTTCATCGGGCAGCGCATCGATGTCGATGTCGTCCCAGTCCTCATTGCGCTTGAAATGGCCCTTGTTGGGGTCCGAGCGCAACTCGTCCATCAGCGCGTCCCATTCGGCGCGCACCGGCGTGACGTCGATCCTGTCCATCTCGTCGAAATCGGTGGTGTAGAAGCGCGGATTGAGCATGGTCGTCTCGTGCGCCATGCGGGTGGTCTCGTTCTGCGCCTCGAGCGGCGCGGCGGCCTTCTTGCCGGCGATCGGCGTATCGACATGGGTGTTCATAGCGCGGCCTCCTCGGAGAAGCTGAACTCGCACAGCTCCATGAATTCGAAATCGCCCGTCGCGCGGGTCCATGCCCGTTCTAGGGCGCTGGCGCGGGTAATGGTGGCGGTGCGTTCGAACGTGGCGGTCTCGCCATAGGGCACCGAGACCGGCGCGCCATGCACGAGCACCTCGTCGCCGGGTTCGACGCCCACGCCATTGTCGAAACGCAGGTGCGCGCCCAACTGCTCGAACGTGTTGTTGATTTCGACCGTACACGGCACATCTTCCCGCGTCCGGGCGATCAGACCGATCAAACTCATTTCTGTCCTCCATTGTGCGCGGCGACACGCTCGGCCAAGGCCAGCGATTCCGCGCGGTTGAACGCATTCAGGCTGATGCGGTCGCCGGTCTTTGTGTCCTCCAGGAAGACCGAGCCGCTGCCGATGCGCAGCACCGCAAAGGTGCGGGTGCTTTCTTCACTCGCCGGGCCGCGCATCCGCTGAAGGGAGCGCAGCGCGCCGGCAAGAAACTGGTCGCGTGCCTTCGGGTAGGACGCGATGGTTGTGTCCGTCGCCGGGTCGACGACATGGATGGTGCCGGACACATCGCGCCGGACCATGACATGGCCCATGTCGGTGATCGCATTGGCGCCCGTGTGAACGACGCCATGCCCGGTCAGATTGGCGAAGGTGACCGAGATGAGCGTGAACGCAACCAAACCGGCACCCATCAACAGGGGAACCCACTTGACTGCCGTTCCGTGCTGGTGCCGATGGTCGCTGGCCGGGATACCGCTCATCTCCGTCTCCTATTCCGCCGCCTGCGGGAAGGCGGAAAGACCGCCCTCGACCGTTGCGACCGGAGCCTCGTCGACCGCATGCGTGCGCGCCAGATGGGCGTGGAGCTGCGTCGACAGCAGGTCCGTCACCTCGGACACATCGTCGAGGCCGATCATCTGCGGCTCGGGGCGGCCCATGCGCAGTCCGCGCACATGCGGCCAGAAGACAAGCCATGCCAGCCGCACATCGGGCTTGAAGCGCAGCGCGATGTCCCCGCTACCGCCGGCCCGCTTGCGCACATCGACGGCCTCGATCTCCGAGAAAGGCAGGTTGAACGCCGTCGGCAGAGCCACGCCGAACTTCATAACGATGCGCCGGGTCGTGATCGTGTAGATCGTCGTCCTGTGGACGCCCCAGGCGTACCATTCGAATAGCCCGACAACGATCGCGCCGGCCGCCGCCATGATCACGAGCGAGACGACGATATCGTCCGCGGCACGGCCGAAATAGAAGCCGGTGATCAGCAGCCATGCCAGCATCACGCCGAAATAGGCGGCGATCCAGCGCGTCTTCATCACATGGCGGCCCACTGCACGGGCGTTCGGACGGCCCTGCCAGATGACATGCTCGCCGGCGGGCAGCGGGCCCGGAAGGCCGTTATTGGCGCCTTCGTCGAACTCTGGAGCGATGAAGCCTGTCATATGTAGGCCTCCTGACGCTCCGGCGTCGCATAGAGCAGACCGGCGCCGAAATAGGCCATGATCTTCTCTTCCTCGAGCAGCGTGATCTCTTTCTTCTTTTTGGTGCCCGGCACCATGGCGAACTGTTCGCCGGTGATCGCATGCACGTAAAAGACCTTCTCGCGGTCGCGCGGGGTTTTGACGACGACGAAGTTCATCGGCACCAGCACGCGCCGCGGCGCGTCGCCGACTTCCGTCTCGATCTCAAGGAACCGGATCATGTGCTCCATCCGGTCGACCCAGACATCGGTGACCCGGCCGGCAACGATGCTGTCGCAGCCGACGACGCGCAGGCCGCGCGGATCCATGTCGCCCTCGGCGATGGTGATCGTCGCGTCCTCGCGCATCGGCACGATCTTCGGAGCGCCATTGTGCAGCATGTCGGGCACGTTCGCCCGCGCGGTCCAGGCGCCGGGGCCGATGCCGTCGAGCATCGGCATGTCGTTTTCAGGCTGCCACGGCGCGCCGGAGAACTGGCCGACCTGCGCGCCTTTCAGATTGGCCGGGTCCGCATTGGCATCGCCCCGGCCGTTGGGCGCGTGCACGACGCCATGGCCATGGGCAAGATGGAATGCCTTGGGCGCCGGGGTGAACAGCCAGGAATCGCCGTCCTTTTTGCCCGCATCGTCTTCCAGCGGGAAGCCCTCGCGGCGGCTCTCACGCTGCAGGTAGAAGATGAGGCCGGCAAAGAACACCCAGAACACGTAGAGCGTCACTTGCGCGACATCGATGTACCCTGTGATTTCAACCATGGTTGTTCTCCTGGTTCATGGTTCATCCGGGCAGTTCGGCGATGCCGAACCGGCGGATTGGTTGATGGTCCGTGCTGCGGCGGCGTGCACGCCCGACCAGCGGGCCGAGCGCCACGAGGCTCGCAAACAACAGACCGATTTCGATGTGATAGACGACGCCGTAACCGGCGGCCGGTGCCGAAAGCGCCGATCCGGTCATGCCCGCTTCGACGGCGAAATTGACCGCGTCGCGGATGAAACCGCCAAGCGCCAGGCCGACCCCGATCGCGGTCGCCTGCACCGCGCCCCAGGCGCCGATGGCAATCCCGCTGTCGGTGGTGTCGGAAACCTCCATCGCCGCCAGCATGGTGCAGACGGCGAACAGGCCGCCGCCCAGCCCGATCAGCGCGGTGCCGATGCGGAACAGCGTCGGCGATTGCAGCGGCTCGGCGAAAACGACGGCGGAAAAGGCGACGACCCCGATCATCGCGCCAAGCCCGGCCAGACGGTACATGTCGCGGCCCATGGCCAGCCAGCGGCCTGCCAACGCGAAGCCGACGAGTGTGCCGGCCGCCCATATCGCGGTCAAAAGCGTGGTCGCCGAGACCGAAAGGCCCAGCACCTCGCCGCCATAGGGCTCGAGCAGAACGTCCTGCATGGCAAAGCCGGCGGCGCCTAGCGCCACGGCCACCAGAAGGCGCACGGTGCGGTTGTCCTTGCAATAGCCGGTGAAGGCTTCGCGGAAGGTGGGAACGGCACGGTCGGCGCGGGTCAGCTCGGCGTTGCGCGGCTCCTGCTTCCACAGCGCGATGCCGTTGATGACAAGCGTTGCGACCGCCGCGCCCTGCACCACGCGGATCAGCGTGATCGCGTCGAAGTCGGCCAGCATCCAGCCGAACGCAACCGCGCTGACCATCATGCCGACCAGCAGCATCACATAGGCCAGCGCGACGACGCGCGGCCGGTTGTCGGGCGCGGCAAGATCGGTGGCGAGCGCAAGCCCCGCGGTCTGCGTCATGTGCATGCCGATGCCCGTCAGAAGGAAGGCGAGCGCGGCACCGGCGGGCCCGGCCCATTCGGGGCCGGTGGTCTGCGATTGCAGCAACAGCAGTGCGAACGGCATGATGGCGAGGCCGCCGAACTGCAGCATCGAACCCAGCCAGATATAGGGAACCCGGCGCCAGCCCAGCACCGACTTGAACGTGTCCGACCGGTAGCCGATCAGGACGCGGAACGGTGCGGCGAGCACCGGAATGGCGATCATCGCCGCCACAAGGCTGGTGACGACGCCCAGTTCGACGATCATCACCCGGTTCAGAGTGCCTGTCAGCAGCACCGTGGCCATGCCGACGGAGATCTGGAACATGCAAAGACGCAGCAGCCGGCCGAGCGGCAGATCCTCGGTGGCGGCATCGGCGAACGGCAGCCATCGCGGGCCGACATTCTGCCACATCGACCAGGCCGAACGCTTCCTGCGCGGATAATGGATGCCGCCAAACGCCATCAGCGCCGCACCTCCATTGCCTGCGAAATGTAAAAGCCGCTTGAAATGCGCGTGGTGCGCCCCATGCGCCAGCCTGCCATGTCGTCGCGCGCCTCGAGCATGCCCGACAGCCGGTCGGGCCGCACCGGCTCGATGCCCGGCGAGCGGTCGCTGCGCGGAAACATCTGCCCGATGGCGTGCATGGCGGCCAGCATCGGCGTGCGCGGCGCGATCGTGAACACCATGGCCCGCTCTGTGCGCTGGCCGAGCGTGGCGATGGCCGCGACCGCGTCGTCGGTGCGGTAATGAATCAGCGAATCCATCGCGAACACCGCATCGAAGCGGCCATGGTCGGCCGACAGCATGTCGCCGGCCACAAATCGCGCTGTCCCGGCCACAGGCTCCTTGCGCTCGATCTCGGCAAGACGGTCGCGCGCGAACCCGGTCATCTGTTCGGACAGATCGATGCCGAGCACATCGGCGCCGCGCCGCGCCAGTTCGAACGAGGCCACGCCCGAGCCGCATCCCGCATCGAGCACGCGCCAGCCGGAAAGATCGTCCGGCAGACAGGACAGAAGCGTTGCGCGCATCCGGTCCCGGCCCTCGCGCACCGTCTGGCGGATGCGGCTGACCTTTTCGTCGGTCACCAGCTTCTTCCAGCCATCGACCGCCGTCCGGTCGAAATAGACCTCCAGCTCGCCACGCCGCTTGGCGTATGTTCCGCTATGGACGTCCGCGGTCGTCATCTCAGTCGAACCCCAGAAAATCGAAAATGTCGCGGTCCTTCATCGGCTCGGCCTTCAATTCGTCCGTGCCGGCCCAGAGCTGTTCGGCCAGTTGCAGATATTCGTCCTGGATCGCCTTGATCTCCGGATGATCGCCCATCTCGAACAGGGTCGACTTCTTCAGGCGCGATTTGCGCACCTCGTCGCTGTCGGGGATGTGCGCCAGGCGCTTGAGGCCGATCGCATCGTTGTAACGGTCGATCTGGTCGGTCTCGCGCGACCGGTTGGCGATCACGCCGCCGAGCCGGACATCGTAATTCTTCGACTTGGCCTTGATGGCGGCGACGATGCGGTTCATCGCGAAGATGGAATCGAAGTCGTTGGCGGCGACGACCAGCGCCCGCTCGGCATGCTGGAGCGGCGAGGCGAAGCCGCCGCAGACCACATCGCCAAGAACGTCGAAGATGACGACGTCGGTGTCTTCGAGCAGATGATGCTCCTTCAACAGCTTGACCGTCTGGCCGACCACATAGCCGCCGCAGCCGGTGCCGGCCGGCGGTCCGCCCGCCTCGACGCATTGCACGCCATTATAGCCCTCAAAGACGAAATCCTCCGGCCGCAGCTCCTCGGGGTGGAAGTCGACTTCTTCGAGAATGTCGATCACCGTCGGGATCAGGCTCTTGGTCAGCGTGAAGGTGGAATCGTGCTTGGGATCGCAGCCGATCTGAAGGACGCGCTTGCCGATCTTGGAGAACGCAACCGAAAGGTTCGACGATGTCGTCGACTTGCCGATGCCGCCCTTGCCGTAAATGGCGAACACCTTGGCGCCGTCGATCTCCATGGTCGGGTCCAGATGCACCTGGACGCTGCCCTCGCCGTCCTCGCCCTTTTCCGCCCTGCCGGCGGCCTTGGCCAGCGCGCGGGCATCCCGCTCGGCGGTCTTTGGATGGGTAAACACGTTCATGCGGCCACTCCCACGGTGTTGATTCCCTCGACGCGGTCTTCCAGCTCTTCGCTGGCCGCGCACAGGGCCTGCCAGGTTTCTTCGTCCGGCTGCCAATAGTCGCGCTCCGACGCCTCGATCAGCCGCCCGGCCAGCTTGGCGCTGGCCTTCGGGTTCAAATCGGCGAGCCGCCTGCGCATTTCCGCGTCGAGCACGAAGGTTTCGGCGATGTTCTTGTAGACCCAGGGTGCGACCTTGCCGGTCGTCGCCGACCACCCCAGCGTGTTGGTCACCTGGCTTTCGATCTGCCGGACGCCCTCATAGCCATGGTCGAGCAGCGCCTCGTAGAATTTCGGGTTCAGCGTGCGCGTGCGGGTTTCCAGCGAAACCTGCTCGTCGAGCGTGCGCACCTTGCCCTTGCCCGAGGTCTGGTCGCCCACATAGACCTGCGCGTCGCCGCCGCCGGCCTTCCTGATCGCCCGCGAAATGCCGCCGAGCGTATCGAAATAATGGTCGATCGAGGTGATGCCGAGCTCCACGGACTCGATGTTCTGGTAGGCCGCGTCGACATCCTTGAGGATCGTGCCCAGCATCTCGGCGCGCTGCACCGGCTTGCCGTCCTTGCCATATGCGAAGCTCTTGCGGCGCGTATAAGTGTCGGCGATCTCGTCCTCCTCATCCCAGGCACCCGAATCGATCAGCATGTTGACGTTCGAGCCATAGGCGCCGGCCGCATTGGAGAAGACCCGCAGCGCCGCGGTTTCCATGTCGCAGTCGTGCTGCTCGGCATAGGCCAGCGCATGCGCCCGGATCGGGTTGAGATCGAGCGGTTCGTCGGCCATCGCCGCCTGCAGGCTGGCATCGGCCAGAAGGCGCGTCTGCAGCGGCATCAGATCGCGGAAGATGCCCGAAAGCGTCATCACAACGTCGATGCGGGCGCGGCCCAATTCGTCGAGCGGTATCAGATCGGCGCCAGCCAGCCGGCCGAACCCGTCGAACCGCGGCACCGCGCCAATCAGCGCCAGCGCCTGGGCGATCGGTGCGCCCTCGGATTTCAGATTGTCGGTGCCCCACAGCACCATGGCGACCGATTTCGGCAGGTCGCCGCCATTGTCGGCGGCAAAGCGCGCGACCAGCAATTCGGCCTGCTTGCGCCCGTCCTGCACCGCATAGGCGCTCGGCAGGCGGAACGGGTCGAACCCGTGCACGTTGCGGCCCGTCGGCACGATCGCCGGCGAGCGGACGATGTCACCGCCTGACACGGGGTGGACGTAGCCGCCATCGAGCGCATGGACCAGCGCCGGCAGTTCATGGTCCGACCGCAGATCGTGATCGAGCCGCGCCAGGGTCTGCACCGCTTCGGATGCCCGTCCGCCATGCTGTTGATAGGCTTCCAGCGCCCCGTCGATGCCCAGATCGCCCACGCCGTTTTCGCCCATCGCAACATTGACCGCTTCGAGCAGGTCGCGGCGTTCATCGTCGGAAACCGGCTCGCCGACGACATGAAGACCATGCGGAATCAAAGTCTCTTCAAACTCGGCCAAATCCTTGATCAGGCTTGGGATTTCGGCATGGCCTCCCTCGCCCCATTCGGCGTCCTCGGCCATCAGATCGAGCGCGGTGGCCTGCGCCTTGATGGCGATCGCAAGCTCGTTGCGCTCGGTGACCGCCTGCGGCTCAAGCCCACGCCAGCGATCGATGGTGGATTTGAGATCCGCCAGCCCCTTGTAGAGCCCGGCATGGGCGACCGGTGGCGTCAGATGGCTGATCAGCGTCGCCGCCGACCGGCGCCGCGCGATCGCGCCCTCGGACGGGTTGTTGGCCGCATAAAGATAAAGATTGGGCAGATCGCCGATCAGCCGGTCCGACCAGCAATCGCCGGAAAGGCCCGCATGCTTGCCCGGCATGAATTCGAGCGCGCCATGGGTGCCGAAATGCAGCACGGCATCGGCACAAAAATCGTCTTTCAGATAGCGGTAAAAGGCGGCGAACGCGTGGGTCGGCGCAAAGCCCTTCTCGAACAGAAGGCGCATCGGGTCGCCCTCATAGCCAAAGGCCGGCTGGACCCCGACGAAGACGTTGCCGAAATGGTGGCCCATCACGAAGATGTCGCGGCCATCGGTCTGCTGCCGGCCCGGCGCCGGGCCCCACTGCGCCTCGATCTCGGCGAGGAACGGCTCGCGCCGCACATGGGTGTCCGCATCGATCCGCGCGGCGACATTGGCCGGCGTGCCGTGGCTGTCGGCATTTCCGCCCAGGATCATGTCACGCAGCGCGTCGGCGCTTTCAGGCACCTCGACGCTGTAGCCCTCGGCCTTCAGCGTCTTGAGCGTGTTGTGCAGCGAGCGGAAGACCGACAGATAGGCAGCCGTGCCCGTCGCTCCGCCATTGGGCGGGAAATTGTAGATGATCGCGGCGATCTTGCGGTCGGCCCGCGCGCGCCGGCGCAGCGCGACGATCTTTGCGACCCGGTCGGCCAGCATCTCGGCCCGGTCGGGGCAGCACTGCATGTCGCGGCCATTGATCCGGTTGTCGAAGGTGCAGCGCCGCGAACAGCCGGCGCACGGGCCCGACCCGTCATTGCGCCCGCCATAAAGGATCGGTCCGGTGGCGCCGTCGATCTCGGGCAGCGAGACCATGATGGTCGCCTCGATCGGCGTCAGCCCCTGTTCGCCGCCGCCCCATTGCTGCAGGCTCTGGAACTCGCTGGCAAAGGCCGAGATGTAGGGCACGTCGAGCCTGCCCAGCAGCTCCTCGGCGGCCACCGCGTCATTGTAGGCCGGACCGCCGACCAACGAGAATCCGGTCAGGGAGATCACGCTGTCGACGGCGGCCCGGCCATCTCTCATGAAGTATTTTTCGATTGCCGGCCGCGCATCGAGCCCGGAGGCGAACGCGGTGACGACCTTCAGGCCCTTGGCCTGCAAGGCGTCGATGACGCCTTCATAATGCGCGGTGTTGTCGGCCAGGACATAGGAGCGCATCACCAGAAGGCCGACAGTGCCGGCCTTGCCCTTGCGGCCCGCGGCGCGCTCATAGGCGGCCAGATCGTCGGTCACGCGGCCTTTCAGCTTGGGGTGGTAGAGCCCGACATCGGGATAGATCGCCGGATCGGCGGGCTTGACGATCGTGCGCAGCACCTCGCGCGGACCCTTGGCGTAGCGCGATATCAGGAACCGGACCAAGTTTGCGATGTTGTCGTCGGAGCCGGCCAGCATGTACTGCATGGTCAGGAAGTAGGCCCGTACATCCTGCGCCTTGCCCGGAATGAAGCGCAGCAGCTTGGGGATCTGCCGCAGCATCTTCATCTGCCCGGCGCCGGCCGAACCGGATTTCGTCTTCTTGCCGCGCAGGCGCTTGAGCAGGCCCAGCATGCCGCCGGTCGGGTTGGCCATGTTGAACTCGCCGAGCCTGGTCAGCTTGACGATCTCGGCCGCCGACAGCGTGCCGACCATGACGTCGTTGGTCTCGCGGGCCTCTTCCAGCCATGGCTGGATCATCTTGATGTGGTCTTCGAGGAAAACCATGTTGGCGATGACGATGTCGGCGGCCGCGATGTCCTCGCGGGCTCGCGCCATCGCGTCCTCGTCGCCCGCCCATTCGGTCACCGCATGAAGGCTCAGCGAAAGCCCCGGCAGCTCGCGGCGCAGGATCGCCCGCGCGCGCTCGACGGTCGACGCCATGTGGCTGTCGAGGGTGACGATGGTGATCCGGATCGGTGTCGCCGCAGGTGATGCGGCGGCCCGACCGACCTCATCGGCCGAAATGGGCTTTTGCATCATAGAGCGTCTCGATCGTGATCGGGTTCACGCCTTTTTCGGTCGCGAACAGTTCGGTGTTCCTACGCGCTTTTCCGCGCACGAAGAACGGGATTTTCCTCAGCTCTTGTTCGGCATCGCTTGTCCAGGACAGGGACCCGAAGCTCGCCGCCATGCCTTCATTCGCCACAAGATCCTGCGTTTTATCATCAGGCGCGGTCCGGGCTTCGGGTATCTCGATGGTCTCATGGTTCGCACCGGCATGCAATGCCGCCAGATGCGAGGCCTGCGCACCGTCGTTGAATTCGAAGTCCTCGCGGAACATGCCCAGCAGATGCTCTTCCAGCCCCATGACCAGCGGGTGCACGAAACTGTCGAACATCACGTTCGCACCCTCGAACCCCATGAAGGGCGAATAGCGCGCCGGGAAATCCTGAACATGGACGGGCGCCGAGATCACTGCGCAGCCGATCCTCAGGCGCTTGGCGATGTGCCGTTCCATCTGCGTGCCGAGCACCAGCTCGGGCTGGGCGGCAACGATCGCGTCCTCGACCTCCAGATGGTCGTCGGTGATGAGCGCTTCGACACCGTACTGCTGAGCCGCAGCGCGAACGTCGCGGGCGAACTCGCGGCTGTATGTGCCAAGTCCGCAGACCTTGAAGCCCAACTCGTGTTCGGCAACCCGGGCGGCGGCAATCGCATGGGTGGCATCGCCGAAGATGAAGACCCGCTTGCCCGTCAGATAGTTGGAATCGATCGACCGCGAGTACCAGGAAAACCGTTCGTCCGCCTCGGCGATCACCGGCTCGGGATCGGTGTCGGTAAGCGCGGCCACCTCGCGGACGAATTCGCGAGTCGCGTTGACGCCCATCGGCACCGTCTCGACGACGGGCTGCCGATAGGTCCGCTTGAGCCATTGCGCCGCTGTTCCGGCGATTTCGGGATAGAGCACGACGTTGAAGTCGGCGTTCGGCAGCCGGGTCAGATCGTGCGGCGTCGCGCCCATCGGCGCGACCACATTGACCGCAACGCCCAGCGCACCCAAAAGCCGCGTGATCTCGGTGACATCGTCGCGATGGCGGAAGCCGAGCGCGGTCGGCCCCAAAATGTTGCACGACTTCGGCGCGCCTTCGGGCTTTGGTTCGGGCGTACGCCCGCCGGCCAGCCCGCGCACGAGCTGGAAGAAGGTTTCCGCCGCGCCCCAGTTTTCCTTCTTCTGGTAGGACGGCAGTTCGAGCGGGATCACCGGGACGTTCAGGTCGAGCGTCTTGGCGAGCCCGCCCGGATCGTCCTGGATCAGTTCGGCCGTGCACGATGCGCCGACGATGATCGCCTGCGGGTCGAACCGCTCGACGGCCTCCCTGCAGGCGGTCTTGAAAATCTCGGCGGTGTCGGCGCCCAGATCGCGCGCCTGGAAGGTCGTGTAGGTGACCGGCGGGCGCTCCTTGCGCCGCTCGATCATCGTGAACAGAAGATCGGCATAGGTGTCGCCCTGCGGCGCGTGCAGAACGTAATGCAGCCCCTTCATGCCGGTGGCGACGCGCATCGCCCCCACATGCGGCGGTCCCTCATAGGTCCAGACGGTCAGCTGCATGTCAGACCTCCACCTGAAGGAGATCGCGGCGGCGGATCGGCCGGGCAAACAGTTCGGCCAGATCGCCCGCCTGCTCGTAGCCCTGGATCGGCGTGAAGGCAAATTCGATCGACCATTTGGTGGTGCGGCCCTCGGCCTCGAACGGATTGCCAAGACCCATGCCGCAAATGATCAAATCGGGATCGTCGGCGCGGCAGCGGTCGATCTGCTTGTCGACATCCTGCCCCTCGGCAAGCCGCACCGTATCGGGCAGCAGCGCCAGATCGGGCGCCATGTGGGCCTTGTTCAGATAGGGCGTGCCCACTTCGAGGATGTCGGCGCCGGCCTCGCGCGACAGGAAACGCGCCAGCGACGGCTCCATCTGGCTGTCGGGGAAGAAGAAGACGCGCTTGCCTTCGAGCCGTTCACGATAGAGCGAGACCGCCTTGGCGGCGCGCTCACGGCCGGCACCGGTGATCGCATCGAACCGGTCGCCCGGCACGTCGAACGCGTCCGCCGCCGCCCTGAGCCAGGCGGTCGTGCCCTCTTCGCCCAGCGGAAACGGCGCGATCAAGACGTCGGCGCCCCTGCGGGCCAGCAGCTTGGCGGTCTCGGTCAGATAGGGCTGTGCCATCAGCACGGTCGTATTGGCGCCGATCGGCGGAACCTCGCCAGCCGCACGCGCCGGCAGGAAATGCACATTGTCGATGCCAAGACCGTTGAAGATGCGCGTGAACTGGTCCTCGACGACATCGGCGAGGCACCCGGCAACCAGCAACTGGCGCGGAGCGTCCGGCGCGGCCTTCGGCGTCGCCTCGACCAGCGCATGCAGGAAATTGTCCTCGCCCTGGGTGAAGGTCGTTTCGATGCCGGAACCCGAATAGGACAGGACCCGCACATGGGGCGCCATGCGCGCATTGAGCTTTTGCGCGGCGCGGCCCAGATCGAGCTTGATCACCTCGGACGGGCACGAGCCCACAAGCACGAGCATGCGGATATCGGGCCGCCGCGCGATCAGCCGATCGACGACCTTGTCGAGTTCCTCATACATGTCGGCCATGCCGGACAGGTCGCGATCGTCGATGATCGCGGTGCCGAATCGCGGCTCGGCGAAGATCATGACGCCTGCCGCCGACTGCATCAGATGGGCGCAGGTGCGCGAGCCGACGATCAGGAAGAAGGCGTCCTGCACCTTGCGGTGCAGCCAGATGATCGAGGTCAGCCCACAGAAGACTTCATGCTGGCCGCGCTGCTTGATTGGCGCAACGTCGGTGCAGCCGGCGGCGCCTTCCCCGTTCGCACGAGCTTCGGCGGCGGCGATGTGCGGGGGAACGTGCCGGTTCATGACGCCGCCCCCATCGGCACGCCGCCCGGCTTGCCCGCCTGAATTCTCGGGTCGCCGAGCCGAGCCTGACGCAGCTTCCACACAAATTGTGCCGCGTTGATCACATAGGCGGCATAGGCCGTCAGCGCGAGCGCCATCAGCGGCACCGGGGCCAGCAGACCGCCCAGCGTGGCAATCAGATAGGCGGTGTGCAGCGCCAGAACCGCCATGGAAAACACATCTTCCCAGAAGAAGGCCGGCGCGAACAGATAGCGGCCGAATACGACCTTCTCCCAGATCGCGCCGGTGATCATGATGGCGTAGAGCACCATCGTCTTGACGATGATCGATACATCGGCGGCCCAAAGCCCCTCGCCCGTCCAAAGATAGCGAAGGATGAGGATCAGGCTGACCGCGAAGACAGCGAACTGAACGGGCGCGAGTATGCCCTGCACCAGCGTCCAGCGCGAATTGTCGCGGCGCACGCGCTGTTCGGGCGTATACAATTGGAATGCAGCGCTGTTTCGGGTTCGGCGCGTCATCGTCGCAACGGCTTCAAGCCATCCTCCCTGACCTGGGAAGAAATCTAGACCGCCATTTTGCAAAGTGTCAACTTTAATTGACGTTTATTTTTGTTTACAATCGCGCATCGCTGTTCCATCCTTGATCCGTTGGGGTTGGTCGCACGAGCGCAAAGCCGGGTGCCGGCCAATAACCGGTCGCCGTCCCTGGCAGGAAAATCGGGGCCCGCGTAGCGTGGCCATCTTCATGCGCGATCGGGAACGCGGCACGCCGCGTAACAAGCCATGACGGAAGAACGAGACGACGTTTCGGGGTTCGACGAACACCCCATGCCCATCGATGCCGACCGGGTCGGCGCCCATGTGCATGCCGGCACGCGAATCGATCTTTACAGCGGTTCGCGCGGCTCGGCGCTGAACGGGACCGACCGGCACCGGTTCCACCGGATCATCGGCACCGCGATATTCGAACGGACCAGCCGCCGGTTCGGCAATCCGCAGCGCGCCGACGGCGCCGACGCGGAGACCGACGCAGCCCTCATCGACAGCATCAAGACCGCCCTCTACGAGCGTGGCGATGTCGCGGCCGATCCCGCCGTCCGGCGTCTTCTGCGCAAGGAAGCCGCGGCGCGGCCCAAGCTGATGCTCTTCGAGCGCGTTGCCCGGTCGCTCGGCGATGACTGGTGCGACGACACGCGCAGCTTTTGGGCGGTAACGATGGCGATGGGCCGTCTCCAGGTACTGCTGCGCACGACCCTGGCGACCGCGCCGCGCCGCGCCGACGGCAACGAGACCGGCCATGCCCTTCTGACCTTTCCGGCGGGCGAGGACCACCATTTCGGCCATTGCGTGCTCGACGAGATGTTCCGGTCACGCGGCTGGGTGACCCGCATGCTCCAGCAGGAAACGCCATCGGACCTGGCCGGCCACCTGACGCGCCATCGCTACGATCTGGTCTGCCTGTCGTGGTCGACCGGCGCACTCGACCGGATGGCCGCCGCGGCCATGTCGGCGATCGATGCCATGCCGGCCGCCGAGCGCCCGGCCGTCATCGCCGGCGGCGTTGCCAGCACCGCAAACCGGCGCTGGATGGTGCGTCTGGGAGTTGATCAAGTGTGCGACACGGCCTATGGCGCGATCGGCATTGCGGAATCCCTGCTGGCCGACCGGCGTGTCCGGACGGCATTACCGGACCGCGAAACGAAAAAAGAGCCTATCGAAAGGGCCGGATGAGCGCTGATGGAAAAGCAGGTCTCCCGTCACAATCATCGCATTTTCGGCCGGTCCGCCCGGCTTTTCGACCAAGCCGGTCCTGAAGCGAGTGCGTTTCTCGCCTCCGTCGGCGCCGACGTGTCATTGCTCCTGTCGGCCGAGGGCGACATTATCGATGTTGCCTATCGCGACCCATCGCTCGAACGTTACGGCATCGACGACTGGATCGGCCGCGCCTGGCGCGACACGGTGACCGTCGAATGCGTCGACAAGATCGACGCGCTGATCGAGGAAAACGCCAAGACCGGCACGACAAGGCGCCGTCAGGTCAACCATCCCGCATCCGGCATGCAGGATCTGCCCGTCGACTACACGCTTCTGACCGTCGAAGGCATGCCGTGGCGGCTGGCGCTGGGCGAGGACATGCGAAAGCTGTCCGAACTGCAGCAGCAGCTCGTGCGGACCCAGGCCGAACTGGAGACCGAGTATCGCAAGATCAGGGACGCCGAGAGCCGCTACCGGACCATCTTCCACAAGACCGCGCAGGCGATCATCGTCATCGACGGCGAAAGCCACGCGGTCATCGACATCAATCTGACCGGCGCCAACCTTCTGCACCAGCCTGCCGAACGCATCATCGACAAGCCGGTGCTGCAGCTGATCGAGCGTGAGGACCGCGCGAAACTGACCGATGCGCTGAATGCGGCGCGCCACGGCGGCACCCGGCAGAACCTGACGCTCCGAGCTGCCGGCCATCCCGAACCGCTGCTCGGCGTCATCGAACCCTATCGCGAAAGCGGCCGCGGCAACCTCATGCTGTCGCTGGTCCCCGCCGCCGCGGCCAGCGCCCATACCGCCCCCGAGGGCGCCGACACCGCTCTGCTGGACAGCTTCCCGGAGGCGCTTGTGCTGATCGACCGCAAAGGCATGATCAGCATCGCCAACGACCCGTTCCTCGACCTCATCCACGTCCTCAACAAGTCGTTGGTGGTCGACCGCAATCTCAACAGCTGGCTCGGCGCCTCCTCGGTCGATCTGCAGGTGCTCCTGTCGCGGGTCCGCGAGGAAGGCCAGGTCCGCCAGTTCTCCACCGTCATCCGCGACGAGCTGGGCACCACCCGAACCGTTGCCGTGTCCGCCGCGCGCATGAGCGGCGATGCCGACGATCAGCGCATCGGCGTCTTCATCACTGAAGCGAGCCGGCGCGACAGCCAGTTCGCCGTGCCCGCGCCCGGCGTCGAGAGCGGATCGTCCGACTTTGCAGAACTGGTCGGCCGCGTGCCGCTCAAGGACCTGATCCGCGAGGCGGTCGATGTCATCGAGAAGATGTGCATCGAGGCGGCCCTGCGCCAGACCGACAACAATCGGGCCTCGGCCGCCGACATGCTCGGCCTGTCGCGCCAGAGCCTTTACATCAAGCTTCGCCGCCACGGTCTCGAGGATTTCGGCAACGCATCCAGCTAGGCATTGCATCCGCGTCAACTGGCGCGCATTTTTGACAGTTCATACTGTCAATTCTGATTGACACTTTCGCCTGTCAGACTTAGCGTTCCGGCATGGACGCGACCACCGCACCCCAGACACGGCCCGCCTTTCCCGCGCCGAGCGCGGTGCTGGCGCTGCTCAAGCCCATCACATGGTTTCCCCCCATGTGGGCCTATGCCTGCGGCACGGTTTCGGTCGGCGCCGTCAGCCCCGAACGCTGGCCCTACATCATTGGCGGCATCATCCTGGCCGGCCCGCTGATCTGCGGCGGCAGCCAGGCAATCAACGACTGGTTCGACCGCCATGTCGACGCGATCAACGAGCCCGACCGGGTGATCCCGTCGGGCCGCATGCCCGGCCGCTGGGGGCTTTACATCGCGCTGATATGGACCGTCCTTTCATTTGCCGTGGCGGCGTTGCTCGGCCCGTGGGTCCTGGTCGCGGCGACGATCGGAATCGCGTTCGCCTGGGCCTATTCCATGCCGCCCTTCCGCCTGAAGCTGAATGGCTGGTGGGGCAACGGCGCGGCCGGCTTTTCCTATGAGAGCCTGCCCTGGATGACGGCAGCCGCCGCCGCGCTCGGAACGCTCCCGCCCGGCCCGGTGCTCGTCGTCGCCCTGCTCTATGGCCTTGGCGCCCACGGCATCATGACCATCAACGATTTCAAGGCGATCGAGGGCGACACGCAGATGGGCGTGCGCAGCCTGCCCGTACAGTTGGGCGCAAAGCGCGCCGCGCTTGTCGCAAGCCTCGTTATGGCGGTTCCACAAGCCATTGTGATCGCCATCCTTTTCGCGCTTGCCATGCCATGGCACGCCGCGGCGATTGCCGTGCTGCTGCTGGTCCAGGCCGGCGCCATGGTCCGCTTCGTGGGCAACCCGCTCAAATTCGATGTCTGGTTCAGCGCCATCGGCGTGGGCCTTTACGTCACCGGCATGATGATCGCCGCGTTCGCCTTGCGGGCGGCGACAGCTCCAACGGTCTGAGGAGGCACGACAAGATGTTCCAGACCCGCGCCCTGTTCCTGACACGCACGCCGGGCCTTTCCTGGGTTGCCATCGTCCGGCTCGGCCTGGTTCAGGCGGCGCTCGGCTCGATCGTCGTCCTGACCACCTCGACGCTCAACCGCGTGATGGTCGTCGAACTCTCGCTCGCCGCGGTCGTTCCCGGCATGTTGGTCGGCCTGCATTATGCGGTGCAGCTCGGACGGCCCCTGTGGGGTCATGCCTCCGACAGGGGCGGCAGCCGCACACGCTGGATTCTCGGCGGCCTCGCGCTGCTGGCGATTGCCGGCACGGGGGCGGCGGCGACCACGCTCCTGTTCGAACAGGGTTTCTGGCTCGGCATGACCGCCGCGCTCGTCGCCTTCACATTCATCGGCTTTGGCATCGGCGCGTCCGGCACGTCGCTTCTGGCGCTTCTGGCGAGCCGCACCGCGCCCGAGCGGCGGCCCGCGGCGGCGACGCTCGTCTGGATGATGATGATCGCCGGCATCGTGATCACCGCGATCGTCTCGTCGGTCTTCCTCGACCCCTATTCGCACATGCGGCTGGTCATCATCACCGCGATATCCGGCACAATCGCCTTGTCCATCGCCGCGCTTGCCGTCCTCGGCATCGAGCGGACCACCGCCGAGATCCGCGATCCCGGCGAAGCGGACCGGCACAGCGCGACCTTCGGCGAGGCGCTGCGCGAGATCTGGCACGATCCGGCCGCTCGGATCTTCACCGTTTTCGTCTTCGTCTCGATGCTCGCCTACCAGACGCAGGACCTCATACTGGAGCCGTTCGCGGGGCTCCTGTTCGGCCACACGCCCGGCGAATCCACCGCGCTTGGCGGCATGCACCACGCCGGCGTGTTCCTCGGCATGGCCTTTGTCGGCATCATCGGCAGCCTGTTTTCCGCGCGCCGGCCGGGTCTTTTGAAACTGTTCACCGTGGCCGGCTGCCTCGGCTCCGGCCTGGCGCTTGGCTTTCTGGCCGTTGCAGCGGGCGCCGCCCCCGCCTGGCCGCTTGAAGCCAACGTCTTCGCGCTCGGTTTTGCCAACGGCATGTTCGCCGTTGCCGCCATCGGCACGATGATGACGCTGGCCGGCCAGGGCCGCAAATCGCGCGAGGGCATCCGCATGGGGGTCTGGGGCGCCGCGCAGGCGATCGCCTTCGGCCTTGGCGGGTTCGTCGGCACCGTCGCCATCGACGTCACGCGCTGGCTGACGGGCGATGTCGCCCTGTCCTTTGCCGTCGTCTTCACCGGCGAGGCGGTGCTGTTCCTGATCTCGGCGATGATCGCCACATCCATCGGCGTCGCCACCGCCAACCGGCGGC